AATTCCTTTTAGCAAAAGTAAAAATAATCTCAGGGGGAAAGGAAATTGAAAAATAAGAGCTCTGCACAACAGCATGATGTTGGTTTGGCATGAGTATTGCACACCATCGTTGCTTAATCTCACAAGCGTATTTCTTTTTATTTTTATGCAGGAAAGGACAAAGATTTGGAATTCAGGAGTCAAAACAATCTAAAGAGCCAGCAAGTTCTAGTAGGACCTAAGCATGATGGGCACCTAATGAGGCCAACAGAACCTAAGCCTGATGGGCACACCTAGTGAGACTAACAGAACCCAAACCTTGATGGGCACACCTAGTGAGACCTACAGGACCTAAGCCTTGATGGGCACACCTAGTGAGACCTACAGAACCTAAGCCTTGATGGGCACACCTAGTGAGACCTACAGAACCTAAGTCTGATGGGCACCTATGGTGAGGCCTACAGAACCTAAGCCTGAGACCTACAGAACTCACAGCCAGAAGAGGATGATATTAGGCACGGTTTAATTTGGGCTCCCGAGGTTTGTCCAGACCCGTTTTATTGCTTATTTCTGGGCTATTACAATGCATCTAGAATGTTGTCGACTCTGTTGACCAGTTCCTGGCGCTTGATGACGTGCTGCTTATCGCTCTCTATGTAATTGTCCTTTTTCAGCTTGCCGGCAACCAGACGTTCAGCTTCTGAAGATGATTTTAGCACGATCTCCTTTACTTGACTGTCGAGCTTCTGAATCTCAGCAACCTGTGGGCAGTCATAAGAGGACACATTCGGATTAGCCGGCAATTTCACATCAGAATAAGAATCAAACTACTTTTAAAAAGAGACAAAAAAAGCAACTCCTTTGGCAAACCCCAAGGGATAAAGATGACTGATCAATATGGCAGTAGCAGCTCAACTGAATCCGATAAATCGGGGGTAGGCAACCTCGGCAGTCCTGCTGTGGTGGAACTACAATTCTCATGAAGTTTTGCAAGACTGAGACCAACAAGATTTGTAGTTTCAGCACACCTGGAGCACCAAGGTTGCCTAGCCCTGGAATAAATCCTCCACAACAATGTATCAGTCAGCGCTTTTACCAAGCATGGATCGCTCCAACATTCAATCATAACACATTCTTCCTTCTGGATGCAAAATAATTACATGGAGATGTTCATTTATATACAGCAGATAAAGCATTAATGGTTCGCAGCCAGAAGGGAAAAATGTGCTATAAGGAACAATCCGTATGCTCACAGCATACGTCAAGGTAGATGGTTGCACCGAAACGCATAAGAAGTGGCACTGGGGTACTGAGTGACGTCACCGGCATTTACATACATAGTTACATAGTATCGGCGGTTGAATAAAGACCCAGATCCATCCAGTCCAACCTTTGTGTGTAGGTGTGCGATTGTGCATTTGTATATGTGCGCATTTGTATTGTTAGTGTTGATTTACAGGTGGTCCCACACACCCAATATTAATCCACCAGCCAGGGCTCTGACAGGGAGGAAACACTCCTCTTCCTGGCATTATTACTTTCCTATGATCGCAACAAAGTGTCTAGTCACAATCAGTCTATTACTGCTGATTAAAACCGGCACAGTTGATGTTATGTGCCGGAACAGTGAACTATGCATTAAGATGAAACTAGTATAAGTAAATAGACACAAAGGGATACATTTCTGGTGACTAAACTGTTAGATTTATTCATGCACAGTGCAAAGTCTGACATGAAGGCCCTTCTACCATGAGCCCATGCATGTTACCACACAGCCCTGATCACCTTATACTCTGCTCCACAGCGCTCCCCCTGACCTTCTTCAGTGACTGCAACAGCAAAAGTGTTGGCTGTTGTCAAAGCTTAGAGGGAATGGTGACCTCACCTCCATGTTATGTGACACAGTATACTGCTGCATTATGATAGAAGGTAACATTCACCCCCATACAAGAAGCACTGAGTATTTTGTAGTTAGGAGAGGTAGAGCAGAACTGTGAAGGCAATTAGAAAAGGTGGATGGAGGTAGGGGCTTTAAAGAGACCCCATCACCAACTTCAGGAGAAACAACTCCCTAGTACTGTCCCCTATCCCAACGTTAAGAACCTATCGTCTTCTCGGAGTGTCTTTGTGCTGGCCCAACTCTCCCACCCCTCTCTACATGACCTTCTATGTAGCTTCCAAGGCAGGAGTGAAGATAAATACGATTGCCTACCTCTGTCCCTCCAGCTGTGGTGCATCTACAAATCCCATTAGGCATTACAAGCCACAGCAATGACTCCCAAAGCCAGATGCATGGTAGGATTTGAAGTTTCACCACAGCTGGAGGGCCAGAGTTTGCCTACCCCTGCTATCGTGTGTCAATTGACAGCTCGGAGTCTGACATCACATCCAAGTTGGCAGCACCCATCAGGAGTCTCAGGGCTTTTAGATGTCTTCACAAGGGAACAGGTAAATATGCATGTTACGGGTAGATTTTTGTTGAAATAGTCAGGGACGGTGTCTCTTTAAAACAGACCCTGTCACTAAAGGGGAAAAGAGACAGGGTCTCTTCAATGCCCGTTATTCATACTCATGACCTATGGTTTTGTCCAGCAATACAGTTTATCAGGATTTAAAAATGCCCTACAACAGGAACAAGTCTGGTATAGGAGCCTTAAAACATTGGCTACAGCCCTAAAAAAACAACAAGTGCAGTAGATCCCCCATGCCCTATCCCAGGAATAAGAACACTTTAGGACACTGCTAGGCTTCTACCAGAGCATGATACAAATAACATTCAAATCACCTTATCACAGAGATCCGACCCTTCAGCTTTCAGTTTGGCCTGCAGAGACGCAATTTCATTAGTCAAGTTCTTGTGATCCATTTCTAACGTTTTCTTGCCGCTGTTCAGACTCGAAATATCCCTGGACTGTTTATATTTATTTACGGCTTCGTCAAAGTGACGGTACAAGCCGAGCCTCTTGTTCACCAAGGTGAGGATCTGCTCCGTGATGCAAGCCACTTTCATCTTGGCTTCTGCTGCCGGGTCCTGAAGAGAGAAGGACAAAAGTGATAAAGAAGGGAATCCACAATTCCCTGAAGATTCACTTTCAAGACAGTTATAAAGTAACGAGAGCTTCACACAAATCTGAAGTGGGAAAGTGGTGGAAATGATGCACTCCCATACAGATGTTTGCACAATCCGCAGTTCTAAAACTGCACCATTTACAAGGTTGGGGGAAATTAATCAATCAAGATATACCATGCATAATAAAAGATGACTCAGGCATTGTCTAAAGATGTCACTTTTCTATCTGTATAGTATTACCATCAAATGCCCATGTTGTCTTCCCTACTGACCAGTAGAGATAGCAGGTCAGCTTCAACCTGCCAGCATTAAGAAAAATGGATTCCACTAATTGATGTAGAATTGCTGTAGGCACCCATACTACAGGGATGGAACATCTCAACATCTGGCACATGGGACTGAAATAACGTTACGCTAGCTATGGTTGTCCTGTTAAGTACTCATGGCAGTCAGTCTTCAGATATGAGCACAGAACATCGCCACAGCTCTGATCCTGATCAGTCCACAAGGAAGCCCCAGAAAACTGGCCTGAGCTGAATGTGGAGACCTGTGCTGACTGCAACACAGATGGGTTGTGTTGGGAAATAGGAAAACCTGTGCTTGGCCAAAGCCATGTATGGCACAGACAGATAAAATGACAGGTCAGGGTCAGCTGCTTTGGTATTGGACATAAGGGACTGGACAAGCCACATATAGATTACAGGGGACATAACAGAATGCAGTGGAGGTGTGATATGGGAGAGGGAGAGACTCTTACAAGAAGCAGAGGGAGGCAGCCAGGCAAAAGAACGAACCTTAGTGATTGAGAAGTCCAGCCTGACGTAGAGGATGACTGTAAAGAACAGGATGTAGAAAGCTCCCACAACCAGCAGAGGCTCCTGGAGCATCAGGATCTTGTTGAAGGTGTAATGGACCACCACATCCTGAATGTGCTGCTCCACCAAATTGTTCTTGTAAGCTACAATAACCGGACGACCAAATGTGTCAAGATAGGTGTAGTGCAGCTCGTTGGGGGCGCGATTTACATCGTATGGGTACTCCACATGAATATTTCTAAAAAGAACAATAAAGAAGGACAAATAAATAAAACATTGCTGTACCTGAGCAGAAAAAAACACTATATATATTACATTATAGGAAAATCATTTCATCAAATCAACAGTAATAAAGAAACACAGAAGAGTGACCTCAGCAAAAAGACCAAGTGGTCCATAGAATCTGCCCCTGTTGATTTATTGTTATTTTTTAACTTTTTAGTCCGAATATACAATAGATCCCAAGCATGTTGAAATTCACTTACTACTGACTGACTCGCTGCCTCTGCTGGAAGTCTGTTCTAAGCATCAACTACTGTTTCACTGAATTATTACTTTCAACGGTTAGCTATGAACTCGTCTCCTACTAGTGTGAGGTCATTTTCTTGAGCTTGGCTTCATATTGAAAATCCTGCCCTCTTGAACCTTTTTCACATCCTTCATGTATCTGAAGGTTTCAATCACGTCCACCCTTTTTCTCCCCCCCCCCCCCCCAAAAAAAAAACAAAAAAGTTCCTCACCCTCCAAAGCC